GGTGGGCTTGATCCCCAGTGTGGGAGTGCAGGAGGCAGCCAATCAATAATTCTCTCTCATCATTGATGTTCCTATCTCTCTCTCTCTCTCCCTCTCCTGTCTTCTCTGAAGTCAATTATATATATAATTTAAATATATTAAAAAAAAAAAAAAGACTCCATGAGCCAGAGGTACCTGTTACATGTGGAATCTGGGTTAAGGGAATTTTATTAACAAGAAGTTAATTAAGAAAGTGTCCTTTTCCAAGGGTCACTAAACAATCTCCACCGCACTTTTAATATTTGTATTTCTGTAGCTCCAAATTAGTGCATTCACCCTCATCTTCTCTTTAATTTTTGATATTTACTGGATGTGATAACACTCCATGAATGGGTCCTGGCAGCATGACTCAGTGGTTAGAACACTGGCCCATGAACGGAAGGATTCCAGGTTCGATTCTGATCAAGGGCACATATCTAGGCTGCAGGTTCCCCACCCCGATTGGGGTGCATGTGGGAGGCAACCAATTGATGTGGCTCTCTCACATCGATGTTTCTTTCTCTCTCTTTCTCCTCTCTTGCCCTCCCCACTCCCTTCCACTTTCTCTAAAATCAATGGAAGAGCTATCCTTCAGTAAGATTAGCAACAAAAAACAATCAACCAGTGAGTGTATTAATGGGTGGAACAACAAATCCATGTTTCTCTCTAAAATTAATAAATAAAATTAAATAAAAAATGGCCCTAGCCGGTTTGGCTCAGTGTATAGAGTGTCGGCCAGCAGGTCAAAGGGTCCCAGGTTCGATTCTGGTCAAGGGCACAGACCTCAGTTTCAGGCTCCTCCCCAGCCCAGTCAGGATGTGTGCAGGAGGCAACCAATCAAGGTTTCTCTCACATCGATATTCCTCTGTCTTTTCCTCTCTCTTTCACTCTCTCTGAAAATCAATGGAAAAATATCCTCAGGTGAGAATTTTAAAAAATAAATTAAAAATGAAAAGATTATTTATTAAAAAAAATTACTCCCTTGGCCAGCATGGCTCAGTGGTAGAGCACTGACCTATGCACCAGGAGGTCATGGTTTGATTCCTGGTCAGGTTGCATGCCTGGGTTGTGGGCTTGATCCCCAGTGTGGGAGTGCAGGAGGCAGCCAATCAATAATTCTCTCTCATCATTGATGTTCCTATCTCTCTCTCTCTCTCCCTCTCCTGTCTTCTCTGAAGTCAATTATATATATAATTTAAAATGAGTTATAGAACCAATTTTTTTTTTTTAAAAAAAAAAAAAAAAAAAAAATCCCCTTTCTGGGACCAAGAGTCTAGCCAGGCTCACTGAGTAGTATCATGAAAAGTATAGAATAAGACCGAAGGGTACAAGGCTATTGTGGGCCCAATCAGACCATTAAAAGCCATGCAACCTTCAGTAAATCACTTAACATCCCAGCTTACTCATCTGTGAAATAAGGGGACTGAACAAATTTATATAGATGGTTCCTTCCTGCTAGAAAGTTTTGCAGTTCTGAGTCACAAGACTTCTGGACCCCAAGTGGAGTTAAAACAAATGGTCATCCCTTCAGTACCATGGAGAGTGCAGTGGGCTACCAGAGGAGCCACTGTGGCCACCTCATACCTAGCTAGAGCTACGAAGTGCTAGAGGGGCCACATTTGACATTTTAACACCACAATTAAGGCACTGAGAAAAGCTAGATTTTTAAAAATTCTTCCCTGGAAGCCATGGGGGAGGGAGGGGAGAACAGCGGTACCAGAGGGTTTATTTTTGCCTTTTGGATGACACTGAAAATAGATGTAACAAAATAGATGTAACTAGAAGAATTTTAATTAGCTATAAGGAGTGTCCTGACAGTTACAGTTTGTACATCCTGGAATGAGTGAGTGAGGCATCGTATTTGGGTCCATCACATTCTGTTGCTCTCCTGGGGATTCCCGGAACATCCTGGTGTACAGCCAATCTGGTATATTCAGAGGAAGCAGATGGTGGGGGAGGAGGGGGAAGGCTGGGAATACTGCATGGTCATAGCTGACTAACCTATGGGCACATACTCTGATTCTGAGAAGATTCTAGGGCCCCTGAAACTGCCTGTAGGATAGTAAGCAAAATATTTCAGGGGACGTTGACCTCATATCTGAGGCAGAGTTGGAATAGGGCAAAGCTTTCTCCCCGACCCCACCCTACCTCCAAAAAAAAACACTGCTTTGTACATGGCAGTTTCTAGGATAGAAATACGGTCATATACAAGAAGACCCATACTGAAACTATATTCCTGAGCAGGGAGACTTTCTCCAAAGGGTGGCCTCAAATCAATAAACCCACTGAGAGACCCTCTAGTCTAGGCACAATCAAAGATCTGACTCACCTCCACACCAAACCAGGTCCCAGGCACCTAATCCGATGAGTTTTTCTTAATAGGAGAAAACAGTGACAGGGCCCAAGATTCTATGAACTGGCTTAGAACCCAGGTCATGCACATATTGCTTGTGGGCAATAATCAACAGTTTTCTATAGTCAGGCCCTAACCACCATCCGGGAGACTTGGCCAGACAGTAGCACTGACCTACTTTCCTCCCACACTGGGAATCAGGGGTTATCTTGCCCTTATTTGGGTTCTATAGGGATGCAAGGCCAGGGATAAGGATCAGAAAACTTCCCAAAGCAACAGGCCAATTACTTTTATGTGCGAGGAGAGCTGGTGGAGAAGGGGGTGTGGACCACCAAACCTTACCGAGTAGGAAAGGATGAAAGGTTTGGTGAGAAGATTCTTGGAAACAACAGGGACGGGTACATAGAAACGTCTGCTGGCTGGAGAACCATGATATTTGTCCCTCAAGCCTTGTGGTTCAAAAGTTTGCAGGGTCAAAGTGTAAGGGGCAAGGGTTCAGAACTTCTGAGGTACAGCGGTGGCTAGGCATCTCTCACTGATAATTTCTAATACTTGATGTCTTTCCCTCTATGGGGATTCCTACACCTCCACTCGCCCTCTAACAATTATTAACACTGCAATAGACAGGGTTAAAGAAAAGGAATTTCTTAGAGGGTCTACAGTCAAGACCACCTTTATCAAACATCCCAGTAGTTCTTTTTATGGTCTCCTCTCCATAGCCCTCTGAGCATCACTGCTCAGGTAGCTCCTCCAAACTGACCCCAGACCACAGCTTGCCCACCTTTTACATTGAGGGCACACTCTCCTGAGTTGGGGGCATGGAATCTCAGTCATGAACTCCAAAAATGGAGCAGGAGGCAAGAGGAAGGTCCACCTGCTCCCCTACTGCCACCCCACCACGGGGAGTCTTACTCCACAGGCATGTCCCAACCTGACCCCTCTTCTGAAAGTTCTAGATTTGTGGGAGGGGGCATAGAGCAAGCCCTACGTTCCCTTAACTGGAACTGACCCTAAAAGGTCAGAGTCTTAGCACCCATATGGGCCCCAGTCCTGGGATGAGGGGGTGGGGGTGGGCAGGAGAGCCTCTGGGAAAATCCACCTCCCACAAGTAGGTTGGCAAGTAGGGCAGGACCTGTGATCCTGCACAAGAGGTCCTTTGAGCGGCACCCCAGACCCCTCCCCGGGAAGATAAGCCAGAAGGATGATGGGGGGCAGGGTTGGAAGCCTGGAAGGCCAGGGCTCAGCTACCCAGGCCGGGAGAACAAAAGCTGAGTTGCAGCCGCCTCTGCTGCTGCCGGCGGCCGAGCTCTTTGTGACACTTTGTTTGGGACGCAGAGAGGGAAGCACCCCCCATCCTCTCCCCTCCCCCACCCCTGCTCCCAGAGAGTTTGGGTCCCTTCTTCCTCCTCCATCAGCCCTACCTGGGGAGGGGTGGGGGGGGCGGCCATCCACTCGGGCTCCGGGCTGTGCAGTCC